TAATATAATCATTGATTTAATATATTTTATCTACAACACCAGACAGTATTGCCAAATATCATTTACCATCCTAGAAGAATCCAAATTCCTTTCTTTGTTTTGTTTGCGCCAATGAAATTTCTGATCATAAAGCGATTGACACAAATGAACATAGCAAGCTTTGTTTTTTTCAATTTACAAACAAAAATCATCAAAACCGAGAACGTATAAAAATCGTGAAAATATTTTTACTACAAAATTTAATTTGTATTCAATTATTGTATTTTAATCAAATTTTAAAATCTGATCATTGTATTGGTGCTTTTTAAGGAATTGTGTTTTATGGGGGTAAGTGAATATTGGTTTCGTAATTTTATATATATTTTTTTTATTTTTTCGATAATTTTTATAATTCATTCCTATTTTGTTTGTGTCAATCAAATTTCTGATCACGGTAAGCATTTTGTTTTTCCAAATTACAAAACAAGAATCATCAAACTTGAACGTATAAGAATCGTGAAAAATATTTTTACAAAATTCAATGAGTGTATTTATTTCAAATTTTAAACTTAAATATTATAATGGTGCATTTTAAGAAACAGTTGTTTTTGTAAGTGAATTTTGCTTTTGTAATTTTTATATATTTTTTGAAATTTTGGACATATGAAATTTGTGATCAAAAAACAATTGACGCAAATGAACACAGCAGGCTTTTGTTTTTTTTTTCAATTTACAAAACAAAAAATCATCAAAATCGAGAACGTATAGAAATCGTGAAAAATATTTTTACTACAAAATTTATTGAGTGTAATTATTGTATTCTATACAAATTTTAAATATTATATGGTGCTTTTTAAGGAACAGTGTTTTAAATGGGGGTAAGTGATTTTTGGTTTCGTAAATTTTGACATATTTTTTTAATTTTGGATATGTTATAAATCCATTCCTTGTTTTGTTTGTGTCAATGAAATTTCTGATCACAGTAAGCATTTTGTTTTTTCAATTCATAAAACAAAAAATCATCAAAATCAACAACATATAGAAATCGTGAAAAATATATTTACTGCAAAATTTAATGAGTGCAATTATTGTATTTTATTCAAACTTTTAAAACTTAAATATTATGATGGTGCCTTTTAAGGAATAGTGTTTTAAATGGGGGGTAAGTGAATTTAATTTAGATTTCGTAATTTTGACATATTTTATGAAATTTTGGATATATAAACCCATTCCTTGTTTTGTTTTGTGTCAATGAAATTTCTGATCACAGTAAGCATTTTGTTTTTCAAATTACAAAACAAAAAATCATCAAACTTGAGAACGTATAAAATCGTGAAAAATAATTTTACTACAAAATTTATTGGTTTTAATTATTGTATTTTATTCAAAATTTCGCAATTTTTGACAAATAGACATTTTAGATATGTCAATAAAATTTCGGATCATAAAATCATTGACACAAATGAACAACACAGCTGGCTTTTGTTTTTTTTTTCAATTTACAAAACAAAAAATCATCAAATCGAGAACGTATAGAAATCGTGAAAAAATATTTTTACTACAAAATTAATTGGTTGTAATTATTGTATTCTATTCAATTTTAAAATTTAAATATTATAATGTTGCTTTTTAAGGAACAGTATTTTAAATGGGGGGTAGTGAATTTGGATTTCGTAATTTTTGACATATTTTTTTGACAGATATGTCAATGAAATTTCTGAATATAAAACAAATGAAATTTGACACGTGAACACAGCAAGCTTTTTGTTTTTTTCAATTTATAAAACAAAAAATCATCATTTAATGTCAATGTATAATTATGAAAAATATTTTTCCTACAAAATTTATTGGGTGTAATTATGGTATTTTATTCAATTTAAATACTAGTGCTATTTAACGAATAGTTTTTTTTAAATTGAAGGTAAGTGACTTTTATTTCATAATTTTTGATATTTTTTTAAACTTCAAATTTTTTTAGATTCTGAAATCCAATTCAATTTTTTTTAGTTAAACAATATTGTTTTATATAGAACTAGTAGTGCGTGGCGTCGTGCTTTAAGAGAAATTGCTGGAACTGTTAAAATTTGATATTTTTTAAAATATTTAAATTTTGAATATTTTTAAAAATTTTAAATTTTTGAAAATTTTGAAAATGTTTAAATTTTTAAAAACTTTGAAAATTTTAAAGTTTTGAAAAACTTTGAAAATTTTAAAATTTTTGAAAAACTTTGAAAATTTGAAAATTTTTGAAAACTTTGAAAATTTGAAAATTTTTGAAAAACTTTGAAAATTTGAAAATTTTTGAAAACTTTGAAAATTTGAAAATTTTGAAAAACTTTGAAAATTTGAAAATTTTTGAAAAAACTTTGAAAATTTGAAAATTTTTGAAAAACTTTGAAAATTGAAAATTTTTGAAAAACTTTGAAAATTTAAAATTTTGATGATAAAATTGAAAATTTTAAAATTTTTGATAAACTTTTAAAATTTAAATTTTGAAAAACTTTGAAAATTTTAAAATTTTTGAAAAACTTTGAAAATTTTAAATTTTTGAAAAACTTTGAAAATTTTAAAATTTTTGAAATATTGAACCTTTTTAAAAATTCTGAAATTTTTGAAACTCATTTAATCAATTGATCCATAGTATCTAATCTAACAAAATCTAATTTGTAGGATATTTCAAAATGTTCAGAAACCACTGAAACCTAAAGATATGAAAAAAATTTCATTTTCGATTATATTGCGATTACTATAACTTATCCTACGGGATGTTAAAAAAATGTTCTTTGACAGAATAAATTATGATATTGATATAAAAATTTAACGTAATTTTTTTCAATCTTACCTTTGTGGAGAACACCTGGAGGCTCCGTAACTTCCACAAGCAAGGTCCATGGCCAGCATTCCACTTGAAGGTACCACGACTCCTTTGCAGGAATCATAAGTTCCATTCACATACGTTTCGGAGATTTGAATGGACATTTCTTTAAAGTATTCTAAAAAAAATTAGTAAAATTAAGTAATTAAGTACTAACCAGAATGACTATAAATATATGCAAAAATTTCAATTACATATATGTCTTAAAATATTATTTGTATTCACTGACCTTTTCCGTCATCAGGATTCACAGTTTTATTGCCGGTCATCCACTTGGCTTGATCTGGGGAACAGGAAAACTGGCAAATACTTTTCACCAGATTGTTCATGCAGGTTCTGCATCTGCTGAAAATTCCTGAAGCCAAAACGATGTTTGTTCCCATAGTTTTGATCAGTTGAGGACTGCAGCAAGTATAAGCTTCACCTGGTAAAAAAAATAGTGGTGTATAATAGCATTCTGATTTAATGCAAATTTTATTCATTTAAATTCTTCAATATTTATTGATATCAGTTGGAGAACGCGACATTCGGAAAAGGTATTTACATAAAATTAGAGTAATAGTAATAGAGTAAATTGCTACATGCTTCAGCTTCTAGGTAAATAAAGAAATATAAAATTTCATAATCACCAAACTAATATTAAAAATGAGAATTATTTTATAAATATTAAAATTTAAGCTATTCTTAAGCAATTTACTATTATGAACAATTAACTGACGGAAAAGCTGAAATCATTTTTAAAATCATTTAAACATGATTATTAATAGAATTTGAACACATTTCAGATACATTTTTTTAATAATTATTACTAACTAAAACTAATTTTTTGAAAATGTATTGAAACCTAATATTAACGAATTTTGTAATTTTTTCTAATTTTGATAAGGTAATCAAATATTTGTTAAATATCAAATAGGAATAACTTAATAATATATATATATATATATATATATATATATACGAGTATATTAATTTTGTATGATTCTGAATTGATGTTGACATATGTATTAACAAAGTCTAATAATCGGGCATAACATCAATAAAAAACATGAATTTCTTTCAAAAATTTATTTTAAATCCATACGTTTCGGCTATAATCCTAGCCTTCATTCAGTGGAAACTAAAAATAAAATTAAAAACTAAAACAATTGAATTGGAGTGAAAAGAAAAAATAAAATAGTAATTAGTACTTACAATTAGTAGATCTTTATATATATATATATATATATATATATATATATATATATATCAAGGCGGGTCGATTAGGCACATGATTTTTGGATACTAGGGACCAAAGTAAGATATTTTGCTAAAGAAACCATACCTCAAAAATGAATTCTCATGTCCCGTGCATTGACCCAAAGATAAGGGTTAAATTTTCTCAGGGGGGCCAGGGGGTAAACCATGTCCATGGGCGGATCGACCTTCCAAAGTTAGCGCGAGTCGGTCGGTCATTCATTTGGACGCAATTGTGGCACTTTAAATAGGTCAAAATTGAATCTTTTTTTTCTAAATTAACCCTTATTTTTGGGGCATCAAAATTAATTTGAAAAGTATGGCAGCAAAGTATCCTATTTTGATTCCTAGTATCCAAAAATCATATGTGTCTAAGCGACTTTTTTTAACTCATGAAAATCGACCCGCTCTAATATATATTAAATCAATTTTTTTTGTAATTTATTTGAAATCCTTTTCAGCATCCTATCAACATCAGTGGAATATACTGTCATAATTTGGTATCCTTGATTAATAAAATCACTATTGCTTCATATAATTAGAGTGTGCACAATGGTAAAATATACATGTTTTGTTATTACAAAACAAAAAACATCGAAACTGAGTTTGGGATAGAAAGATAGAGATTTCCATCATTTTTGATAAAATGATGGAGCTCATACAATTTTCTTCCTACTGTGTTACAAAAACAATCTTTTCTTCTATACAGATTGTTGAAAGAATACTTCAGAATTTGGGAACTCAAAGCAGCCAGCGAAACTTTCCTAAATGGCTTTCTCCACTGTAAATATTCTCCCATTTTACTTCGCGAGATGCCGAAGGTAGCATCGACGCTCCTTAGTTGGTCCACCTCCTTCACCAGAACCCATTTCTATGCACCTTACCACCTTACCATCTTTACGGCTGGTGAGGGTGGACGACTGACTATGGAAGTGTTTGATGCGTTTTATGTGCCCCTCTAGTGATTCCGAGGAATTTTTTCACCAATTATCTTCCCGTTCTTCGTTCTAAGGTTTCACTGAGGCCACATACAATTGAAGGTATATTTTTTCCACAATATTTTATATATATATATATATATATATATATATATATATATAAAAAAATGTTTTTTGACAGACTGGTCTGATGGTGAAACATATCTAGTCCCGAAACGACGCAACAAAAACTTTATTATTATTCGAATTAACAAATAACACGCCCCCCCCCACACACACACAACTTAATGATGGTCTTGAATATGGATGTTTTCGAATTTTCTGGCTTCCAGGGGCTCAAATGCTTTTAAAATGATAAAAAACAATTCTCTGAAAGTTTTAGCTCTTAATATTAACTTTAAGATAATCCGCACTCCAACCGAAGTTTCTAGGTTCTGCTTTCTAAGTGAATACTTAGTCCACAAAATATATCAAATTTTTTGTGTAATTTTTTTATTTATGATCAAAGTAAGCAAATACAGTATTTTTCTCGAAATTTTGATTCACTTGTCGCTAAGTTATAAAATTCTAAAAAGCAAATGAAATTTTATTTGCTTGGAGTGCGGACTATCTTAAAGTTAATATCAAGAGCTAAAACTTTCAGAGAATTGTTTTTAACTTCCCGTAGGGCAAGTTATAGTAATCGCAAAAAAAATGAAAATGAAAATTTTTTTAGATCTTTACGTTTCAAAATCTTCTGAACATTTTGGCATACCTTAGAAAAAGTAGATGTATGTGTGTGTGTGTGTGTGTGTGTGTGTGGTGTGTATGTGTGTGTGTGTGTGTGTGTGTGTGCGTGCGTGTATGTATGTATGTCGGATACAAATTTTTCGTTATTTATATTATATTTATATTTATTTGGCGATTTCGGGACACGAATCAACCGATTGAATAATGTAAAAAACATTCGATTCGTATTGATAAGGAGACGTGCTGATAAGTTTTCGGCGAAGGCAGGTCTAGCCGTTCCGAAGATACGGGGCAAAAAGTGCCGAAAACGGTAACTCAATTTTTAAGAGAACGGAGCGTCCGATTTGGATAATTCAAAAAACGTTTTATTTGTATTGACTAAATGAACTGTTCAAATTTTTGGAAAGGCTGGTCCAACGACTTAGGAGATATGGAGGAAAAAGTAAAAAAATGAGCCATTATGCGGTCAAAAATGAACATTAGACATATGCACATCAAAAATTATCAGATATTTTATAAAGATTTTAACAATAAGTATAAATTTTGTTAACATTCCTATGGGTTCCGTACCAATGTTTACGCGTTAGACAGCGACGCGGCGCTTACGCATTTTGATATTTCGTCTTTATGCAGTTAAAGCAGTACGATTGCTTTGAAAAAAAGTTCAGAATTTCCAAAATATTTCAAAATAAATAATTTAATATGGTTCAAAATTCTATTAATAGTTTCAAATCATTGATCAACTTTTATGGATTATTATTGATTATTTTTAATTACTCGAATTTTGAATTGCGGGGAGTACGGGAAGTTCCAGCAATTTGCCTTAAGGCACGATGCCCTAATTGCCTTAAGACAGAATTCCACTTACAGCTAGTTTTTTTATCATTTTGGAAGCATTTGAGCCCCTGAGAGCAGAAAAATTTGAATGTATCCATATAAAGGACCACCCTAATATATATAAATTATCTACATTTAACAATTGTTTATTTTGTTACGTCAAAGTATTATCGGCGCTTGAATTTTATCACTGATTGTATCTATCAATTAGATATATATTAAAAAAATTGATATATCGTGATAAAAACGGAATTTTCCAATCTTTGATCAATAATAAACGAAATATAAAATTTTCATATACAAAACTGTAAACGGTTTCTGAAGTTGTACTAACACGCTAACATGATAAAACATTTTTACGTCCTATTTGTATATATTTAATTCATATTAGAAAAGATTAAAAATATATTATTATTTATCTATATCTCCTCATATTTTTCTAGTTCTTCAGATACATGGGTGATATTTTGTTCTTGCCGTTTTCCTGTCGACCACACATCCACACTGTTTCGTTTTGTCTAGTGATTGTTTTCGTCAAGGCTCCAGATCTTGGTAAGTTATGCATATTTCCATGAACATATAGTAGTCTACATATATATAAAAATAAGTCGGGTTTTCCTTCCTGGCAAAATAACTCCAGAACGCACGAACCGATTTCGACAATTTTGCATTCGTTGGAAATGTCTCGGGCTCCGCAAGGTTTATAGCTAATTGTAAGAAAATTAGTGGTGCATGGCATCGTGCCTTAATGCAAATTCCTGGAACTTCACGCAATGTAATTGAAAATTCGAGCAATGACATTAGTAAGAATTATCAGAATTATCCTTGGTTAAGTCAACGAGCAATTCTTGTCGCAAAGAATAATAATGTACACGCACTGAATTTCACCGGCAGTTTTACGTTGCCTGTTCACGAGTTGGAAAACCATCCGCTTTGTTTGTGTTAACGTCAGACCAAAAAACAAAAATGTGGTTTACCAAAGACCACTTCCATGAAACGGATAATTTGCGGATTTACTTTTATTCACTTAGAGAAGTTCAACTAAAAAACACTTCATTTTTGTAATCGAAATAAATTCATTACTATTGTATGATAAAATCAAATTTTTTCTTTTCAAATATAAAACAAACAAAAAATTTCTTCATCTTTCTCACGAAACCATCTGGTGGTGGCGAAACGGAGTTTGTCGGGTTTGCTAGTTAATATATATTACAAATTAATATATTCATATTAACTGAATTTTTTCAGGATTTCCCAGCCTGCAGTTGCGATTCTGGCGTAACTGAAACGGGAGGACATATCCGTCTAGGCGGGGAAAAGATCTGGAGCATTTTCGATGTCAGTGTCGTGTAGATATGTGGATGTTTTTGGGTTGTTTGGTAACTGTAGCGGCAATTTTATCGCGTAAGTAGAATTATTAAAGATTTAGTTTTATATTTACAATCATACTAATAATTGAAAGTGACATAAAAATATATCTTGAACTCAAATTCCACACATGTAGGCGTCCATTAATCACGTGATCGATTTTTAAGGATTTTTGGACTCCCCCTCCCTGTTGGTGATACGTGGCAATATTCAAAATTTTTAATTAATTGGAAATAATTAAATTTTTGAAAATTTTTTTTTTTGAAATTTTGAAAAATTCTTCTTAAAAATTTTGAAACCCATTTAATTTAAAAAATAATAATTTTTGAAAATAAAGAAATTTATGGATTTTTTTTTAAATTTTGAACTTTTTTGAAAATTTTGAAATTTTTGAAACTCTTTTAATCGATTAATCCATAATATCTAATCCAACTAAATCTAATATATGGCAAAATATTTAGAAACTTCTGAAACGTGAAGATATGCAAAATTTTTGACTCTAGTAGTAATAAAACTAGTAGTGTATAGCACAGCGGTTTCCAACCTTAGAGACGCGCCCCCTTAGGGGTGCGCCAGGCTGTGCTAGGGGGGGCGCGCAGTTCCCAGAATACTATCGAAAATAATCCAACATTTTGGAAACGATATTAAAAAATAAACAAAAAATAATTAGTTTCTATGCATATTTTTACAAAATATTGCATATTAATTTGTAGTCTGATATCTGAGGTATTTATAAAATTAAACTGTTCAAAAAATTAAGGGGAGGGCGCAACAATTTTTCTTATTAGAGCAGGGCGGCGCTGTGCAAAAAAGGTTGGAAACCACTGGTATAGCATTTCAATTTGATACAAATTATCTTCAATATTTATAAGGTGGAACGCGAGATTCAAAAAAGCTTTATTATTAGTTATTAACTAAAAATTATCATTATTGTTGAATAATTATATTTTTTTGTTTAGGAAAAAAGATAGAGATTTCAATCCCAAACTCAGAACCGTAAGTATAAAGTTTCAAGAACTTACTAAATATTATACATGTTTATTTGTGTGGTTTATTGTAATGCCAAAACATATATATTTTACCCTTGTGCACATTCTAAATCTTTATTAATTAAGGATACCAAATTTTGACAGTATTTACCACTGAACGAGGGCAAGGATGTTAGCCGAAACGCATGGATTACAAATAAATGTATAAAAAAATAATGTAAATATTTTTCTGTTGTCTATGTTCTATTAGTATTCCACCACTAGGATTCAGATTAGGACTCTATCCTAGACGAAAAGTATCGGAGATACTCGAAGAAACACGAAGAAAGCTTAAGAAAGACTCTTGTTGGACCGGCACTCTCTCTTGGCAACCAGGGGTGATATTAGAAGCTTAATTTATAAAATATATATATTGATATATTCTGTTTTTACAAAGTGTAAATTGTTTTACAAATTATATTTAATATATCATCTATTAGAAGTCCAAAGACTTGATGTGTTTTAATTACTAGATAAGAATTCTGTTGCAGGGCAAAAATTTGTAACAAATTTATCTTGTAATCTCTTTTAAAATTATAACACAAATTCAAATTGTCTCTATTTATTATACAATGGTTAAATAACTAAAAAATAAAAATTAAAAATACTAATTTTGAATAGCATCATGCCTTCAGACAAATTGCTGAAACTCCCTGTACCGAAAATAATTTCTTACTGAAAAGCTTGAAAAAATAAAATTAAAAAAAATAAAATAAAATTTTAAATATTTTTTTTTTACTAAATTGTTGAAAACTTTGAAAAACAAATAGTATGGATTTGAGAACAGAGAATTGAGAAAATTTTACTGTTTTTTTATAATATTTTTTTATTAAAATGCTCGAAAGAATAATTTTTGAAAACTTTGAAAAACAAATAGAATAGATTTGAGAACTGAATATTTTGTGACTGTTTTTTTATAATTTTTTATTAAAAAGCATAAAAAATTAACTTTTGAAAAACAAATAGAATAGTTTTGAGAATTGATATTTTTGAGAAAATTTGACTGTTTTTTATAATATTTTTTTATTATAATGCTTGAAACAATGATTTTTAAAAACTTTAAGAAACAAATAGAATATATTTGAGAATTGAAAGTTTTGATTAGTTTTTGGCAAAGGCAGGTCTAGCCGTTCCGAAGATATGGGGCAAAAACTGCCAAAAACGGTAACTCAGTTTTTAAGAGAACGGAGCGTCCGATTTGAATAATTTACTTGTACTAACAAGATGAAGAATTGATCAAATTTTCATGAAGGCAGGTCTAGCGGTTTCGGAGATCTAGTAAAAAAAGTAAAAAAATGCCATTTGGCGGTCAAAAATGATCATTAGACATGGTACGGAACCCATAGGAATGAAAACAAAATTTATACTTATTGTTAAAATCTCTATAAAATATCTGATAATTTGATGTGCATATGTCTAATGATAGTTTTTGACACATATATCCATTTTTTCTAATGTATGCCAAAATGTTCAGAAGGTTTTGATACATGAAGATATGCAAAAATTTTCATTTTCGATTTTTTTGCTATTACTATAACTTACCCTACGGGAAGTTAAAAAATGCACTTTTAAACATCAGGCAAATTTTGCCGTTTATACCAATTAAAAATAATTATGATCAAATTTAGACAAGTGTGGTAAATACTAAAAATATTAAATGATTTAACGATTTGATAACCTTGATTTATTAATCTAAAAGATAAAAAACGATTGTCCAATGTTCAATGAGATTTTAAGTATCAATCATTTACCTTTATCGTTGATAAATTCCGGACAGTACGTCTGAAGTATTTTGAAGGCTTCGGCATCTTCCAGAAGTTTGGGCCCATGTGGAGGATTTGATGGGCAATTTTTGCCCCTGCCACCAACGTTCGTACATTCTTCGTACCATACGCAATTTTCGGTGGATTTTGCAGCTAATGCAACTGTCGCCAGGAAGAGAAAAACTGAAATAAAAATTAATAGTTGTAAGTAACATTTTGCCTTAAGGCAAGTTGCATGAAGGGGAAGACATGTGTAAATAATCGACTTAAGAAAAAGAATTAGTATTAGGAAAATGAAGATGTAGCTTTCTAACGATTTTTTATATATGTTTTAAGTGAAATCTTTGAAACATACTTATATGTAATTGTATAAATTAAATTATTTTGTTTAGCACATTTCATTTCGTCTGAAGCCGTTTGGGAATATGAACGACTTTGTGGTTTTACTATTATTTATTGCTATCTAATATAGATACAATTATATTCATATATAATTCCTGGCTGTCGATGGTGAAAGAGACCTTTACTATCCGTTTGGGCTTTTATACCCAACGAAACGGTTGTTTTGATGCATGCCCATCAACAATAAAATCAGGGTCGTACTTAATGCAGGGCTGCAGTTGGGTGTCACCGCACATCCTTATCATGCTCCAAAAATCTATTTTATTTAAGTGTGGGCGTAAACTGCAATCAGCAGCTTCCAACAAAAAACCACAGAACGTACAGATGCTTCGACATAGATTTTGATTACAATCACCCAAACATGCAACAAAATTCTAAACTTTGATAAATTTTTAAATTAAACGCTTATTGTAGGCCTGTAATATTTTAGTATATAATTTCATTCTAAAAAATCTATCGTTACACAAAGTTTCAATATTTAATTACAAAGAAACGACACATCCAATCTCTACCAAACTCTAATCAAAGCGATTCTTAACCAATACATTTCGAACAGTTTTTGGATTTTTAAAATTAAATCAGGATGGTGTACTTAAACAAGAAAGACAAATTTTACACATTTCTGCTAATTGCAAAGAAACGGCTTTGTCGAGTCTAAATCTAAATTAAACTGCAGTTTTTTCACTTATAACGCAACCGTATGTTTGCCAGATTTCCTTGTATGGCATCTAGGCGTTTGAAAATAGAAGCATATAAACTTTTCGTTGCATTTGTGTCATTTATAGACAACAACAATAGCAAATATTATTTAACTACGTGCAAGTGGCATTTTGTCTTAATGTAAGTTGCAAAAACTTAACAATATGGGTAAATAATTGATATGACAGCAATTGTTATTTTACTGTAGTTGAACATTAACAGTTGGTTGCCAGAAATGTGATTTTGCCTAAATAATTTAGCTCAGTCATAACGATGATTTGGTTTCAAAAGTGTGCGTTGGGTACGGTTGTGAAATTTGTTGGCTGTGGCATGTTAATGTTTTTGAAAGTCTGAACACGTGAAAAAAATCTAACTAACTAACAATAAGCAAAATAAATAATAAAAAAAGAACGATTCTCTGGTTTGTGGCTGCCCATATTCTGAAAGTAGGGGTGGTGTAAAATAGATAAAGTGCCAAGCAACATGCGGTTTCTGGTTCCATGTAAAATGTGCAAGTGATAGTCACTTTTGTCACCATTGAATGATGATTTTGATTAAATCTCAGTATATTGATACATAGTCACTGTAAATTTTTGCCTGATTAGCCAAGGTAATTTACTAGTTAACATTTTTGACTGACTTTGAAGAAAAAAAATATAATAACACTAAGCTAATTAATTATAAGAAGGAAAATGATTGCAACCGTCCTTAGAGTATGGACTATTGTGACAATCGTCCTCATCTTGTATGAATTGATTTTATAACTAATCCATCGTATTTGAGGACAGCATTTCAGTGCTCAAATTACCATTTAATAATTTCATTTTATGACTATTCCATCATATTTAAGAGCAGCATTTCAGTGTTCCCACTGCTCTAATTACGATTTAATTTACTTTTCTCCCAGCTAACTAGGAAATTTACAAAATTATTGCTGATAAAAAAAGTGACAAAACGCACAACCGTACTCCTATAATGAAAAGTTTCTGCAATTTTTAATAAATTATTGTTAATATATAACAAGACGAATTATTTATGACATACTTGATAGCGGACACATTATACTTGCAACTTTAGCTATGAATAAAAATCCAGTATGTCTGTGATCAAGTAAAAAATAACCAACTGAAGCAAACATGTACTGTAAAACTGATACTGTATTTTTTTATATATGCAATTTGTTGAATCGTTCAAACTTGGTAATAAATATTTATATAATTTATCACAACGTAATTCACAAACATAATTGAAAGACATATCCAAACATCACAAATTAAAATCCTAATCGTCCAAAAGTCCGATCCTCAGCAGAGGTTTCGCAAAAACCGTCATCATACATAATTTGGCGGTATCCAAATTCTCACTCACCTATTAACTTCATTTTTGAATTCTTTCTTCAAATTAAATAATCAATTAACAATAACTTATCCAACACACTAATTTTTTCTATCAAACACAAAACTTATAAAAAAATATCACAAACTAATCACCCAAAAATTTCATTTCGCCGTTCGCCTCGACGGCTTCTATTGCAATGGCTAAAAAACCCATTCATCAATTGAACAACTTAGGACAATCTTATCACCAAAACAGGTGTCCAAATCACTATCATTGAAGATGACAATGACTCTAAGCATCTTTATCAATCGAAAGCAACACCTGTGTGTTGTAAAATTAAAAATACTCAATCAATATCGAAACAAAATACTTGATATTTTCATAATCCTTTGTGTTTGTGACATGATATGCGCGCGTGTGTTGAAGATTTATGTGACGAATTATGTTATCTGGTTTTGTAATAGATGAATGGATTTATTTTTGCAACTATGCATAAAGATTTTGTAGTAATTCCTTAAAATTTAAATTGAACTAAGTTAGATTTTCTGCAGTTATTTTATTAACTTCCCGTAGGGTAAGTTATAGTAATCGCAAAAAATCGAAAATGGAAATTTTTATATATCTACGTTTCAGAGTTTCTGAACATTCTGGCATACCTTAGAAAAATGGATGTATATATGTGTGTGTGTGTATGTGTGCGGATACAAATTTTCGTCGACGAATTCGAGGAACACGGATCAACCAATTTGAATAATTCAGAAAACAATTGATTTGTATTAATGGGGAGACCTGCTGATTAGTTGGCAAAAGCAGGTTCAGCCATTTCGTTCACATTATCGACTGAAATAAAAATAAAAGTAAATGGTTGTCTGCTCGAAGGCAAGTCGATGACGTGGGATGTTTGTGTGTGTGTGCGGATACAAATTTTCGTCGACGATTTCGAGAATACGGATCAATCGATTTGAATGGTTCAAAAAGCATTCGATTCCTATTGATAAAGAGACATGCTGATTAGTTTTTGGTAAAGGCAGGTCCAGCCGTTTCGAAGATACCAGGCAAAAAGTGCCAAAAATGGTATTTCAGTTTTTGGGAGAACGTAGCGTCCGATTTGAATAATTCAAAAAATGAAAAACTGGTTAAATTTTTAGGAAGGCAGGTCTAGCGTTTCCGGAAATCCAATACAAAATGTAAAAATAATGCCATTTGGCGGTCAAAAATGAACATTAAACATACGTGCATTGCATTATCCAATATTTTATAAAGGTTATAATAATAAATACAAATTGTGTGTACATTTATATGGGTTCCGTACCAATGTTTACACGTTAGACGACTACGCGGCGCTCACGCGCTTTGTATGACTCTAAAACAGCTATGCAGCGCAATTGTTTTCAAATAAAGTTCAAAATATTCAAAAAAAAATCGAAATCCTGCTCTACACAACCTGACATCGAGCAGCAGCGATGTCCATTTTCACTTGAAAATCTAGATCAAAAATATGTTTCCAATTGATAATAAGCCTATTTGAGGCACTGCGGTATGAAAGGACAAGGGAAAATCTCACACCATTCTTCCCTGAATCAAGTTGGTTTTTAACTCAGCTTACTGACCTGATGCCTTAAGGCAATACTATCCATTATTATTTTATTTATTAAGTATGTAAAAATATACATAACAGATTATTATTTATTAATTAATTTTTAACTTCCCGTAGAATAAGTTATTGTAATCGTGCAAAAATCGAAATTGAAAATGTTTGCATTTCTACACGTTGTGAAGGTTTCTGAACATTTTGGCATACCTAAATAGATGTGTGTTTGTGTTATGTATGTATAAATACAATTTTTCGTCCACGTTTCCGGCGCACGGATCAACCGATTTGAATGTTTCAAAAAATATTCGATTCCTATTGATAGGAAGATGTGGTGATTAGTTTTTGGCAAAGGCAAGTCCAGCCGTTTTAGAGATACAAAACAAAGAAAACAAAATTTTGAGAGTACGGAGTATTTGATTTGAATGATTAAAAAAACGCGGATGGGCAGAAAAAAATTGTTTCATTTTTTTTTTAATTTCAAGAAAATATTTTTTTAACTAAATTTTATTCTTCGAATATTTAATTATGGTACGGGAAGTTCCAGCAATTCGACTCTACATATCATGCCGCACACCACTAGTTTGATATTATTTCGACATTTTTTATATATTTTCGAAAATAGTATTTTGTAAACAGTTGTTCGCCCCCCCGAGAAGCGCGTCCCACAGATTGGAAACCGCGGACTTAACATAATTTGTAATCAATTTAACATATACTATTTTAAAATTACAAAATGCCTGCACCCTGCAGTACTAGAAATTCCATGTCCATATGTTTTGCAATTGTGTATTTATAGTATATGATCGATAATAGTAAAATTCTCCTAATCATATATGATTGTTATCTCTAAATTCCGTTGAACCAGCAAGGCAAATTCCAAAATACGATTTAATATTTTCCGACAGATTCCACTTCAGCAACAACAGCATATGTTTCAAATTGTCTACTTCAAATTTTTGTATCGATCTATTGATTAGTTAATGAAGACAATCTAAAGATTACAATAATCTATAATCATTCATTAAGTAGGTATTGTCAATTTAAAGAATCTCTTTTCTAACGAAATTATTATCAATCGCGCTCTTTCGTGATACGCATTTCACGTATCTCAAAAATGTTAAGAAATTCTGGTTTAAATTAATTGAAAAGTTTCCATAATTATTGGTCAATAGATTTTTAGTAGTACCATATGGAATGATGATGTTCCTTATGAAATAGGTGCAGATAGTAAAAGAAACTAGTGGTGTATGGCGTCGTCTTAAGGCAAATTGCGGGAACTCCCATACCGAACACTAAATTTAAAAAAAAAACTTTGAAAAAATTTGATTTTTGACAAATTTTAAAATTTTTGAAAAAAAAAGATTTTTTGTATTTATTTTTTTTTTTTTAATTTTGAACATTTTTTTAAGCGATCGCGCTATTGCAAAATAATATTTGTGGATTTGGGTTGGTAAAAATAAAGGCGGTAATTATAAAATATAAAAAAATTGTAAATAATCGAATTTATCAATAAAAATTGAGATTTTTACCATCCTTGACTGTCCCATTTGAGGGGACAAAGTAAGTCCATCATATCATTCGGCTGTCTCCTCTCAGGGGACAAAGTAAATCTAGTATTTCACTCGGGCGCATATCATGCCACCAAGGATTATAAAAATACCAAGTATTTTTTCGTATTATTGATTTAGTGTTTTAATTTTACAACACACAGGTGGTGTTTTCGACCGATAAAGATGCTTAGAATCAATTGTCATCTTAAGTGATTTGGACACCTGTTTTAGTGATAAGATTGTCTTAAGTTGTTGAATGAATAAAAGAGGGACATGGCAGTTTGTATACACAATGTCTCGGTTCATATCAAAACATCATTTAAGGATGGATCAAGGATGAGCAACATGCGACTCTTTAAATATTTTTCTGCGGCCCACAATTATAAAATATAATTTTATTTATATTATCAAGTTTTTTCCATCAATAAATCAATTATAATGTATTTTTTTTTTTTGTTGCATTAATTCATGAAATATTTACTTTGCTTCAATTTAGTATGTTTATTAGGGGGCGTCCATTATTCACGAGATCGATTTTTTACTTCGACATGGGGCAAAAAATAATTATTAATTATTGTAAATGCATGTTCTTTAATGTCCACAATATAAATTCCTATAAAACAAAATTGCATACAATGCACAGTAATAATATCAAGTTCACACAGCAGGTATGTTTTCGTAAGAATGTGGCGCCAAGTTGCTGGTAGATAACTTCCGAGTTGGTGTGCCGAGCGGGAAAGGGTTAGTATAATATCAAATAATAGTTTGGGGTATAAAAGGAGTAAACGAATTGTTATTTTCTTTAACGTTTGCTATAGCGGGAAACAAATACTGAATTCTAAAGATGTTTTCTTGAATAATTCTTGACAATTAGTCCCAAAATGCCTCACAAGTTTTTAGTATAAAATAGTTAGTATATATTCCTCAACATACCTTCTACTACGTATATTATGTTCGGTGGTTTTTGCTGCAGAAGTGACACTGCTGTAAGAGCCAGCAATTCGCCCATGTACCTATTATACAGAATATTTCAAGATTTCCACAAAAAAGATCCACAATTAAAAGAGGTCTGTGCTGGGTGTGCGTATTAAGTTTCTTAGTGTATTTTTTTATCGCTGAACACAAATCTAAAGTCCAAAATGGGGGTCAAAAACTGCAAAAAATAAAGAATAAAAAAAAAAAAAAATAAAATAAAAAATCTAGTCATTTTTCTGCATGATGATACAAATCTTACAATATCTGTCTTTTCATGGTCTTTATCTCTTTAAATGACCTGTGCAAGGAATTTCTGCAACGCTTTTTTCATCTCTGTTGAGTTATCAACTTGCAGGAACTTTCAAAAGGAAATTGCACACATATTTTCAGAAAACTGCAAATTTGTTTACAAATTACCTAGAGACAATAGGAAATGCACCATCATGAATAGGTTTGTCAGATTACTGCTGCAAAAAGATGTTCAACAGAGATGAAAATAAGCATTACAGAAATCCTTGCACTGTTCAAAGAGATAAATACAGAAATTATAAGATTTTAATTATCATGCACAAAAACTAATAATAATAGTATTTTTTTTTTTATTTGTTATCAAGGGTTCCTGAAGAAGGAGACATCCCATTATCACCAAAATGTTATTTAAAGAAAAAAATGGCTGAAATTATAAGATTTTAGTTATCATGCAGAAAAATTAATTATAATATCTTTTTTATTTGTTATCAATAGTTCCCGAAGAAAAAGACATCCCATATCACCAAAATGTTATTTAAAGAGAAAAATGATAGAAATTATAAGATTTGAATTATCATGCACAAGAATTAATTATAATAATAGTTTTTTCATTTCTTATCAATAGTTCCTGAAGAAGGAGACATTCCATGTCCGAGAAAGATGGAATAAAATAAAAAAAATTAAATGAATGATTACTTAAATGTATCCGCGCTCTACCGCTGCAACATTTTCAAAACAATTTCTAGATATTGGCGACGAAATGGTTATCACCGATAAAACTAGATGCATTGAATTATTGATCAATTCTCATATAATCACTGATTTACAGAATTATCCTATACCGATGAACACAAGAAGTATGTACATAGTTATGAATATCTTGCAGAAGCAGCAATTCAAAAAAAAAATGAATGAGGGAATTTAGTGTCAAAATCAAAATCTAAAGATAAAACTGTTTTTGAGAATAAACTGAAAATGTTCCGGAGTTTTTGAAAAAACACTCAATTCACTAAACACATACTTCTGCATCAGTTAATTTTTCTACTAAAAATTTTCTAGAAATATTTCTTATGGCTAAACGTTTGCTGAGCCAGCTAGTATATATATATATATATATATATATATATATATATATATATATATAATAAGAAAATATATTTGGAAATGTAAGGTTCTTTTAAATATATAATATTCTGAATATTCATCTAGTAAACCATATAGCAAAGTCATTGCTGTATATAGCTTACGAGTATCTCTGGTTCATACATTTGAAAATATTACCAAACATTTTGTTTCCGTACTCTCAGAAATTTCAGAAAAGGCGTTTACATTGCAGATAAGATAATAATTAACCAGAAATAAATAATCCGAAAATTTATTATTTGTGTGCTCAAATAAAATGCTCAAAAACTTTAAAATACTAAATACTTTAAAAAAAAAATGCTGCGCGCAAGCAAGTATTATTAAGCAGTTATAATTTTATAATTTTATGATTTTATAACTTTATGAAATGAGTGGCCTGATTGCCCGGTGTATTTTAAAAACATTTTCTCTTATATTTTATCTCTTATTAAATAATTGTTTGTTAAATTAGGTAACTGACAATCAAAACAACATGTAAAATAGATGGACATCTTTATTACAACAAATTTTATATTTCATAACTATAACAATTAAAAATAAATTCTACAGACAATACGAAGAAAAATAACGACATACATCAAAAAGAACATTTTAAAACAATAACAACGAAGATAAATGCTTGTAGAAGTGTCTACTTTAAATTTTTGGCAGTTTTTATAGAATTGATCTCGAGTTGTGCACACAAATTATTCCTATTGATTTAAATAAAAACATTGAATAAATAATATAATAACTGAGGTAACAAAAAAATCATAACCCTATAATGTGAATGCTTAAGTTTGTGTCTTGTCAGTACCATTTTTGCCATTAAACTATTCACGATACTACGAACTGAACGGTGGAATTATATGAAGACTCGGTTCTTAAAAAGTCTTATTTATCTTTTGGCCACGTTTGTTTAGTGCCTGTAACCAGGTTTCCTAAATTCAGGAGAAGGCGCTGGCGGCAGTGCGCCTACATCGTAACTCGGGGGCCGATAGAAACGCCACAGTAAAGATGAGCCACGTTTGAGCTCCCCACGTTGTTTCAAGTGAGCCCAACATTCTTGCCAATTGTTGAAAGTAGGCATGTGAGGGGGTTTACTTGCAGCCAATCTAAAAATAAGTTTAGATGGATAAAGGACTTTCATTTCTGGCTTTAATTTAATTTTTACTAGGGAAGAACAGGAGTTAAAGGTCTGCTGGAAAAAAGGTCCACCACCACAAGTAAAATATAGTTTTTAAAAATACTATTTTAAAGTGAAAGAATATCTTACATGTGGTTGGAGTAAAAGAGACTACCTAAACCTTTACACTAGTAGCAAGGTGTAAAAATTTAGGTGGTCCTTTATTCTTATTTATTGAGAAAATGCTAAATAAATATGTAAAATAAGTTACAAAAGCAATTAGAACAAAATGGATTAAATTGATAGTTCTTACAACTTCAATGATAAAATCTTTTGACAAAGTTCCATACAAAAGTTATATGCAGTGTTATCTTTGTAAAAAATGTGCCCATAAATATGTATTTCAAACAAGAGTTGTATTTATTTCATTTGTAATAACTGTATTTCAAGAAATATTGAGTCCGATTATGATAAATTAAAAAGAAATCTCTACTAAGCAATACTCATGATAGTATTAAAAATTTATAAATATGTTTGCAAATTGCATTTAAAAATACATATTCAGATTATGCTTTTTAATTTTTTGTTCAACCTAATAATTAAACTGCATCACATTCATTAATTAATAAAGCTTTAAATCAATAAAACCTCAGTAAAGCAAATAAAATAGATTAGTGGATCTTTTTACCCCCTGGTTGACCTTCTTACAATGCTGGTGAGGTAAAATGGACCATACAATACATTTTAGAAAACAGCAAAAACAACATATGTCTACAATGATGAATTTGCTGGTAATTTTACTAAACATAGTCAGATTGTTACTTGTTTGATATGTGTTATTTGTTTTGATGTAGTTGGTTTGGTTTGCACAGTATAATTGCTATAAGTCCAACTGGACTGCCCTAGCCTAACAAAGATATAAATAAGTATGTTGAAAGACAACTGTACTTACCTTGATCCATGAAGAGTCATACAATTTGACACAACTTGGAATGGGTACATAATTGTGCTTGTTACAAACTGAAATATATAAATATAAGCATTAAATAAATAAACTTTAAACTACTTTAAAATTATTAGCTAATTTAGAGCATTAAAATATATCTTACTGTAGCAATAGCTCCAACATAGCTGCGAGTTTCCTTATCCTGTACTAAATGTTTGTTAATGATAAATGTAACAGCACTCGCAAACAGAAGACAAGCAATATCACCTAACAATCTTGGGAACAAACCATTGAAAAATCCTCCAATACCTTCTTCTGGTAAATAGTTGCAATTGATCCCAAATTGAACTGAAGTAGTAATAAAAATAGAAATAAATAAATATTTATTCAAATGTGGATATGAATTTAGAATTTGAAATTATAGGTGACCCCCTTATAACATGGACGTGACGTATTTCTATAGCATGGATCCACTCTAACAAGGTTAGGAAATGAGCAAAATTCTAATAAAATATAAAGCAAACTTTATCTAATGTAAAGTTGGTGAAGTCACAAAACAACTGCTCATAAACTTAATGCAAAAGATATCTCATTTGCCATTTTTCATTTGAGCCTGGACATTCTATTGGAAAAAAGCCTAGGTTTACCCAAACAGTTATTGATATTTCTCAAATATAGGTTCTTTAGATGAAGTAATTTAAAATTTAAAAGAGAACTCACATCTAGAATCATGTAGAAATGTGTAAAGATCTTTTCTTTAAAAAAGCCAAGGCTTTCCCAAACATTAGTCATATTCCTCAAAAAAAGATTCTTTAAATGAAATGAGCCCAAAATTTAAAAAAGAAAACATTAGTGCTTAGTATCATATAAAGAACTTATAAAAATCTTTTCATCAAAAGCGAGCATTAAAAAATAACAATTCATATTGCAAAAATAAGGGAATCGAAATTATGCTAGTATAGAAAAATTCTCAGACGATGAGGAAATCTTGCCAGATCAGGTTAATTCACTTAGTACATATCAACTACAAAAATTAATGAATATACTTTTATCTTTATTATAAATATATACTAGCAATTTTTAAATCTATGCCCTCTTTCTACACTACTCCTTTGTCTAACAAGGATTACTCCAGTGTTATACGGGGGTTACCTGTATATCATTTACTTACCAATATTTGGTTTCATGACCAATAAATTGAGCCATCATTCTAACAGTGATTACTTGGAAGGGGTGACTAATTATTGTACCGCTTATGTGAAGAATCATGTCTCTGACAATGCCTTTTCAAATCTCTTCCTCCTAAAAATACAATAATTAGTAAATATAATTAGCAATAATGTAAATACTAGATGATTTTGCCAATTTTAAAATGGACTTGAAGTACTAAATGTAACATTAGACTTCTGATTTCTGAAATCAAGTTTCGATAAACAAACAAATAGAAAACAAATAAATAGAATGTTTAAATTTGCATTAAATTGACCCAAATAGTAAATACTTAGTGCTTTGCTTAATTGTATTTGAAACTAAAATTGATTTTGATAAGCGTATAGGCGCAAACTTTATTTATTCTTTGGACTTTGATAATAATTTACATTATATAATATATATTTATGTTTACTTGTTTTTAATAAGCTAAAAGAAATAATATGATTGTTATAAGATTATGATAATATAATGTTTATATTTATTTGATCCTTTTACTGAATAACTTATTTCACTAACAAAATTGTACTTACAATTTTTTGTGAAAATTATGCATGATCAACAAATAATTGTTTTTAAAGTTATTCAATCCTGGTGAACTGTTATTTCTTTGTTCTACTGAATTATACAAAAAAAATTTACTATCAATAAATATGAACAATAAATTTCATTCAAAAACTGCTCTTTTAATCACAATAAATTTTCTGTTAATTTTTTTTTTATTCAAATTACAGAGTATTCAATTAAGAACATTTTTTATGAAAATTTGAAACTGGTATTCTGGAATAATTACTATTCAACAACCGTTTTCCTAAAAGGCCAGTTTTTGTATAATCCTTTATAAATTTACCTTTCAATATCTGTGAGTTCATCATCATTTACATCTTCTTTTTCAGGAGGTACACCCAAACCTAACTGTTCAGCTATTTTTTCACTACCTAAGACACTCGCTATGTTACCCAGGAGTTTAGGTGTAAGGCCTCGATAGCAACCTGTAATGCCATCCATTCTTCTAATGTAACCCACTGAAATATATAAAAAGTAATTATAAAAGATATTTTTGTATTAGTACATTAAGAATTATATAAGTGTTATATTATTATTATATTAAATTTTAAAATAATTGTTACACAATAATAATAATAATTGTTAATAATTGTTTGTATCCTGTAGTTAAGTAACAAAAAAAATTATAACACAAGCAATAAATTAATTAGGGATTCTAGTGTAGACGAATAAATTTTAGGTCATTTTTAAATCATTGTGGTCAAGATTTGACCAGGCTTTTACTATTTAACCCAGGACCCTTTGAGGTAGGGGATACAATTGTATGAGTATATTTAAGTAATTAATTAATAATAGTTCGGCCATTTAAGCCTAAATTAGGTAAGAATCTCGGAATTCGAGATACCCAGCTGTAAGTCTGTAAATACTGATACCCTAAAAAGTTGTCTCAAAACCTACATATGGTAGGATGTACACAACATATGAAACTTTAGGGTGTCAATAAACAAGTATTTACAGTCTTACAGCTGGCTGTCTCGAATTCCGAGGTGAACTTACTATAATGACTAGACTATAAGTAAATTTTCTAAATAATTAATTCTTCTAGTAAAAAAACACGAATTTTAATTCATATTTAAATCATCGTAAAAAGGGCAAATTATAGGGATTCATTTTCAATATTATTATTTTAAATCTATTTATCAATGTTAAGAGTACAGAAATAACTAGAAAAAATGTTAACAATTTTAAGAGTTAGCAGTTGTTGAAGTAGGGCCTCTCAAAAAATTGACACGTGTCCATGGCCACGATTGCAAACCCCCTTTTTCCTAATCCTAAACCCTAATCTCTTTTTTTTTCATTTCAGATTACTAGGGGGGATTGCAAAAATAGTGAGATAAAAGATAGTGAAATAAAAAATGACCTAAAATTCATGTCCTTAATTAAAAAAATACCCCCTTAATCTACAATTGTCATATAGTTAACTAAATAATAATTTGCTT